TTTWWTTWMYTYSSMARRAWYYYCYWWTTYTTATACGGAAACACATTTTAGAAGTAAATAAGAGTGAAACTTTTGACTGCTATTCTCCATGCTTGGCTTTGATTACTAATTTTCTTCTGTATTTATGATTGTATTTTTTTATTAAAATTATGTTATCAATAAATTTTATGAAAGTTTATTTTGTTTTTGTTCAATTGGCAATCCAGCACTCGAAATTGCTTTTTCACTTGCTTGTGGGCCTGTGCACCGGGTGAAGGATTTTTTTCTTAATTCGAATGCTTTTACTAAGTTTTTCTTCTACATTAACAGGGAATCAACTCGTTCTAGTTTGAAGCCATATATGAATATCCAGCAACGATCTGCAACTCTGCCTGCTAATTCTTCAATGAGTGGCAAATGACATTTGAATCTTCAATTAAGTTAACATTTGAATCTTGAATGCTTCTAGTTTCATCACTAAATACTGATACAGAATATACTTTTACTATCTTATCACATCACTGTATCAATCTTATCAGGTTTTAATAAAATTCTTAATAGTTTATTTTGTTGTGGCACTAAATCTTAAGATACTTAACAGTTATTCCAAAAGATGTTTTTAACATCATTAATGAATTGTCTTAGTCGGTTGTTTGCTAATGTTCGCTGAAAATCTAACTACGACGCTGTACTAATTAAATTTTTGTAAAGGTGCTAATTTTGTTTTGTAAAAAGTTTTTTTATTAATTAAGAAATTCTCAAATCAGAGCTTACGAGTTTTTTAACATGACATTCCTTACAGTACAGTAATAAACTTTTCTGTTTTAGTTGTACATTGTTTGTTTTTTGTTTAGATTGTACAAATATTTTAATGCGAATTTTGATTATACAGGCTGGATTATCAAAAAACGCCTCAAGTAATAACTCCATTATTTTGACAATACTTCTTCGAAGAAAGTTGCAAAAAAATGCCCACAATCTGTTCAACTTCGATCAAAGAAGTATTTTCATATCTTCAAATAGAATGAAGTTAWGGCTTGTGGAGTTCTTATAATCCAGCCTRTATATAATTATGTATTTATTAATCTTTGTTTCTKTTCTTTTCCTATTGTAAAATTGTGCCTTAAACATTCATTCGTAGTTATACTATTGTATTAACTACAACACCAATAAGTTATTTTTTAATATAATTTTGGCATTTCAGGTAGTAAAATGAAACGTTTTTTGCCTTATGTATTATACAAAATGTAAACCAAATGGACAATTCTGAATAAATTGTTCTTATTTATTAATGATTTTTTCTTTCATTACAAATAAAACCAAACATTTCATAACAAAGCGCTTTATTATACATTAATAATTCCAATAAAACATAGTCGTACATAAAATATAAATATTAAAATATAAAATACCTGTTTGATGGACAGGGGACACTTCAGAAAAGTCCCGCACGTTTTTTCAATTCTTGTTGTTTCCAACGCGGTAACTTTTCAAATTCAAGATAAGTCATCTTTAAAACCGATACAAAGTCGTCGTGGGTTAGATGTAACTGCAAAATGAAATGTTGTAAATAAAACAAAAAAAAACTTTTGTCAGGAGTGGGATTCGAACCCACGCCCTCAGAGAGGACCAGAACGCTCATTGCAACCTGCTTTGCAGGCAAGGAAACCTTGAGTCTGGCGCCTTAGACCGCTCGGCCATCCTGACTTGTCTCAAATTTCTGTAAACTCTCGTTTTAAACCCAACTACAGTTTAAAAATAAACATACAGTTTTTATCAAATGATTTTATTTACTGAATTATCATGATTTATCAAAATGCGTTTAATTTTCACGAAAAAAATTTGTTTTATTGAATAAAAACCTTACCTCTTTATTTAAGGGATCTACCCTTGCAGGAAGCTTTTCATTTGGTTCTTTAAGAATATTTAAGGGGTACTTATCGTACTGATCAAAATCACTATGTCCTGATGTTTTCTGATAGCCGTTTATTTCTTTTCCAATCATTTTTGCATTTTTCATTTCTATATCTTGTCTTCGCTTACCGAAAGATTTATAAATCTAAAAAAGTAACAAGGTTGAATGAATTATTATCCTCCGTTTTTACCTTCCACAAATTATTGTCCCATGATGGGAAAAATCCTGTAAACGTTGGAGGCTCATGGCCTTGGTTTATTTGAATTATTGGTATGTTTATGTCTCTTCCACAAGGATCTATAATAAAAAAATATGAAGAGCAAATAACAATTGATAAAATTAAAAAAATTGCACTTACCAGTCTGTAAATATTCAAGAGCCACAAGCAAACTTTGTCTTTGGTCTTCCTTTGAACTCAAATTCCCAATCCACAAATASAGCACAATGAAAAAATCCACCAACATGACGTTTTCTGGTAAAAGATCGTTCTGATTGAAGAAAAAAATTTCTTCCGCTGTGAAAAATAGATAGATACAATTCGTATTTTAGAAAACAACAAAGTATTTGTTAGGTACCTCTTAAAACACCATTAATTTTCGCACAGTGAAAAAGTCTAGGTGGTCGAACATCCCCATCATCCCGCATTAATTGGGTCGCATAGACTGCTTTCCCACCCAATAAGTCGAAAAATTCCTGTTTTTCCTTTCCTTCCAAGACTAATTCGAAATCTTTGCCGGCAAATAATTTTGCCATTTCCCTCTGATCCCCGGTTGAATAATGACCGCACCAAATAGATGCATGTTTGCCTCTTTTAAACACGTAACAATAGTTTGAGTTCAAGTGTGAGGCTCGAGGTGGGATTTGGACAGCTTTACTGCTGGCTAAAGTCGAGCCAAAAATTTGGAGGAAATACTGCATTGGGTGCTTCAAATTCCGACCAGATTCTGCAACAGTGTTATGAGAATTTTGGGTAAATGTGGTTAAATTCGGACCATCAAAATCGGTGCCTTTCCCTTTAAATATAATTAATTTTCCTTTAAATAATTGTAAAAAGTGGGCAGGTTCTCGCCCCTGGATCACTCGAGCTTGAAATCCTAAGCCTCCCAACTCTTCGTCAATTTCCAGCACCTTACCGTTTGCGTAAGAAATTTCTTCTTGCGTGGCGTGGGATCCCTAGGAAGTCATTCACAAAATATAACAATTTTTACGGTCGAGTAAATTGCTTTTCAGAATTCAACTCACCAACCAGTAATAAAGTAAATGTCTTKCTTCCGCTGATGTCTGATAGCTGTATAAGACAATGTAACAATCGCCATTGAAAAAGTAACCGTGACGTTCTTTCGGTATTTCAACCAGATTATGTTGTTTTATTCGCCATAAAGTCACACTTCCTGAACCGTCATCAATAAGCTGTGTTTCTGCAGCAAGACTTGGGCGTTCTTCCATTATCAGAGCATCGAATTTTGACACCAAAACGGTTGGTTTTCCTCCTGGAATTAATTACAATCTTTTAAGTATAATTCGTATTTATAACTTTTCAATGAAACGGGCTTTTTACCTCGACCAATAACTTTATTATTTTCATCTTTCCAAAATGAAAAGAGCATTTTGAATTCACTAGACTCAAAACCATCAACAACTCGGGTCACATTCGTATTATTTGGGTATTTCTTTTTCTTGACAAAACCGCGTGCATTTCGAAGAGCTTCCCCTCGTTCTTTATCGTTGGCCCTCTTCCCGACCCAAATCCAAATTCCGTGTATTTCTTGATCAATTATAAAAACCTCCTACGGGACAAAATTAATAACAGTTATAAATCTCAACATTTGGTTTACATCAGATTCCAAATCGCATTGATACAAAGGCCCACTTTTAATTTCAGCCACTCTGTATTTGCCATTATTCTCCGAGCATTTATAAAGTCGGATATTGTTCGATCTTTGGAAAAAATTCTGCGTTTCTGATTCATTTTCAGGTAAAACATGTCGTTTCTCTAAAGGTAAACATTTGTTCCACTCTTTTTTCTCATCGTCTTGTAGAGTTTTTTCATAACCATCGTCCACAAAAACAATATTTGAAATGTTATACTGTTCTTTCATTTCCGTTGCCAGCTAAAAGTTGCGTAAAAACTATTGTTATTGCAATACACAATTTCACAGCAAACCAATCATTAAATTCAAGTATAACTGTACATCACTTTGGAGCTATTACAAGAGATTGTACTTGGAACCATTAGAAAGTTACTCACTTTAGCTGCATTTAATTTTTCAGCAGCGTCTGAAGCTCTCCCGACCCAAACAAACAAAAAGTTTGTAGTATGCAAAATGAAGATATCGCTGCTGTTGAATTTTTCCCAAGTGATGWTGTCCATTTGAATCAAGACGGGAGTGCATTTTCCTTTGACTTTGTAAAGTTTGGGGAGTGTTAGCAAAGAAAATTCGGAAGTTAGAATTCTGGAAAATAATTATTAAGCCATTTCCTTGTCATATTACATTAATGGCAAAAAACCTAAATCCGCTCTTAAAGTAACTCTTAAACCTTGGACTTTCATTTCCTTGCGTTTCACGATGTTGGCATGTAGTTCCGTTGAGAAAATTATCTAATTCGACTGTTTTGTAAGCAGCGACTCCGGATTTGTCCGGAGTTGTGGAACAGCCGAGCCAAAAATGGATGTGATACTCCAAAGGAGTACCTTTAACCTCGCGGGACTTAACAATTTATCAGATTTTTTGTTGCCAGAAGGTTTCACTTACCACTGAGTCAACCCCGACTGATTGTCCACAAGGGGAAGACGCAAAAATAACATAACAATCGGTATCGTAAAAAATTCCGTATTGATCTCGAGGGACCGCCACAATACTCATATTCTATAAATTGAGAGAATCGAATTTTTGGACAAAAAATTTTAAAAACTTACTTCGACGCGCCATATCAGAAAAGCGGTTGATGTTTTGGTAATCTTGCGATAAGCGATGTCCACATTAGTAACGCTTACCCCATTTGTGTAAGCTTCATCCTAAAAAATTAAATTTTTGGAAAAATTGCAAAACTGCAAAAATAATTTAAAAAACACACGTAATCACTCTGTTGAAGTTCTATAATTTGCATTTTGTTATTTTATTTTATCTGTTGCAATTCACTGACACTGCATCACTCTAAACTCAAAAAAAAATTAAGGCAACTTTGTAATGAAATTTACAAGATAATGCGAGCTGCGGTTATAATTTAACTTCACGTCTTGACATAGAATGCGGACAACAACCGGCAAATCGCAAGTTTCTTTAGGATCTTTGAAGTGAGTGACCCCCTCCTATTCTTTCGTAGCCGCCAAGACTTTTACAAAACGGTCTAATAGTCGATATTTTACAAAAAATAAATAAATTTCGTTCTAGAACCATTAATCTAATCCAGACGGAATAATTAGTATAACAAATTTGATTAAAGCCCTTTCGAATCGTTTGTTATCTCAAAAGATTAGTTACGCAACGTTTCGTCCAGAAAACTGAAAGTGCGGATGACTTTTCCAGCAACGCAAAATTTTAATTGTTGCACTTAATAAGCCCAATAATTGGCTTAATTAAGAAAAAAGCTCCACCTAGATAGTTACCTGACAATGAAATATGGAAATTTTTGTTGTTTAACATGAAAGCTGATAAGTAAATTACTTAGTTCGCAATAATTGTCATAGAATTAATAGGTCCTTGGCCTTTTTTAAACGGTGGATTGATTAATGACTGCTTTTGATATTTTACTGTTGTCATATAAATATTTCGTGTAATTAAACTGAATCCAGTTTAGTTACTGCCTAGCAGTACCTGTAATCAACTTTTTCCAATTTTTGAACCTCTTGAGACGTAGCGGTATATTAAAAACTAATTAAATATAATCTCAATAGAAAAATGATGTTATTCTTCACGCTCTGTGACTACTTTTAATCCACTCAAAGAGCAAAATTTTCGAGAATGCGACCCTTTTGTCACCTTTTGCCCGCACTCGGTGCACTATAATTACATCTTGACATGCAAAATGGCGTTATTATAGTTAATTGCAGTCAAGTTTTTAAGGTTGGTTAAGCTTTTAATAACTTACGGAAGTCATCTTSCGTGATTCCTTCATAATTGCCTGTGACACACCGACTTCCAAGCAATTCACTAATTAACACTGACAACTGAAAAACTCGGTGGTACTTGTGCCCTTGCAATATAGGCTTCAGAAATGAGTTTTGRAATTGTAATGTCGATGGTTTGAATAGTAATTGTTTTCGGAAATGACCAAAGTTAACTTCCGAAATAAAGAACGGAAATACGCATTGCTGCCTGCAATTGTTTGGCAATATATGGGATGATGCATTGTGATGATTCCACATTTCACTGCTCTTCATCCGAGTCGACAAAGTCTTAGTCGACGGTTTTGTTGGCTTACAAAGAAAAGTTTTGTAAGTTTGTTGACAAAGCTTCACACTTTTAATTAGCATAAGTTTATTTCAATTAATAAAAATGATCTTCAGTTAGCAGTAAATTTATTGGTTTTTTGCACTAGCTTTACTGCAAGATGTTCAATCAAGAGCCGACCGTTATGCCAGTTATGCTAGAGAATATTAAATTACATGTGGTCTTAAATTAAGGCTTTCCTTACAACAAGTTCTTATTTTTTAGAAGAGGTAGGCTGGAGCGTATTGTGCAACTTGTACGACATATGTTATGATTAGATGACGGTCATTGCATTAGACATTACCCGACAAATCTAATAAAAAAATCTAGAAACGAGATCYGGTAACTCGAGGAAATTGCAAGATCAAAACAATAAGACAACCACCACATTATAGTTGCACATAATTTACGTGAGGTTGTAAATAAGATACATGACATGGATGACACTTTATTGACTGTAGACTACAGATAATAAATAATTTAGATCGGCATTGTGCAGACATCGGTTTTATTGTTGAAACACCGACTCCAATTGATAAAGCACAATTTCGAACCTGCTCAACAATACTTTGCGGTAGTAAATCAAGCAGTAAATGTTATAATAAATGAAATTTAGTGGTGCTTTTACAAGCTATAAACTAATAAAGAGTAAAGCGAATAATTGTAAAATTACATTGCCGGAAATAGACTTATTTCGAATAAAATTATTAGCAAAAGCCATTAGATTGTATCAAATCGTGTTCAATTTTTTTTTTAACTGTGTGCATTTGTAGAAATAATGTTATTATATTATTGTCTTCCAATTAACCCAAAAAGCAAAATCTTGTAAACAATTTATTTATGTCTTGGTTATAATTTACGCAAGTTCTACTTCGCAGGATTTGTGAATTGTACCGTTTTTAACATTTTTTATTGTGATCCCTAATCCTAAAAGAAAATAAATAATGGAAATTTATTGTAAACTGTGCAACTCGGAAAAGTTTATCTTCCTTTCAAGTAAATAAAACAAACAATTAAGGAAAATAGATTAATCTTTTTCCTACACTGTAGTAAAGTCGACAAGCCATTTATGAATAAAAAAATTGCCAATGATGTGAAAGAAAGAAACCAATTATAATTTTCTCTTTAGCTTGTTTATTTGTWATATAAATTGGTTTAACCACAATCACGCCAAAATACGTGTTTGACTTAAAAATAAAACAAATTTAAAAAGCAGTACCAGACGTCAATTATGTAACATTTCATTAATTAGATAATTGATTAAAATGAGATAATGTTAGTTATTTCCAAAGAGTGGCAAGTTGGAAACGTTCAATSATCATATCAAGGCTAATGCAGTTGTTCACTAACCACTCATTTACGAGACACTTTGTAGTCAATGAACCAAATCGAAAAATTCTTAGTGTGGAGAATATGCCATTAATGATTAATTGATTATTATCATTTCTTATTGAGACTTAAGTAAACTAACATTGAATCATAATGAAGTAGTATATTCAATTATAAAAACTATCTGTTTTAGACGAAAATATCCTGTTGTTGGCATTTGTAGGTGTATCTATTGTTTCATGTTTTTTTTTGTTTTTTGCCGATCGAAAAAACACTGTTGACAAACTCATTCATCAAAGTGCATCCAAAAAATGCAAACTTGCTGTTGTACCTACCGCAAGACGCCAGCCTTAAAACTAAAAGAATTATTGTTAAAATTGCAATATCCCAAAATTTTCAATAATTTTGAAAATAAGGATTATGACAAATTACTAAACTTATTGGCTTAGAAATTTCTTAATTATATTTTTTATGTTTTATTATTCTGCAAAACTCGAAATACAAATCTGTTAGAGCAAAACGTGTTTCCTAGAAAATTTTGATGGCAAATAAAATGTCAAATCTGACACATTTTCTGAGTAAATGTCATTATTGGACTCGTTTTTGCAATAAAAAAATTACAAGAAATAATAAATGTTATTGTGATCCACCTTTTTACGCGGTTTTTCGTAATGTATAAAGAAATAATAAAATGTGCAGAAAAATGATCTAAACTCTTTCAGTTTAGTTTTTCTTGAAGAACTTTTGAGAATAAATAAAATTATGAGTTAATGAATAAAAATTTTGGAAAACCTTTTTAAAACAATAAGGTAAGTGAACCGCCACAAATGAACGTAAATGAAGGTATATTAAACATAAGAATATAGGATATAAAATTTTATTACCAACTGCAAGAGTAGTAGATACTGTTTGTCGTAACAGTTTATTATAACATTCATCAACCGTAATTTCTTCTAGTTTTGTTATTCTAATTTATTCTTGTTGCTCGGAAAAATGTTCGCGACTAATTGAACTAGAATAAAATGCCTTGTAATTAGTACCAGGTCAGAATCGTTGCCCCTTAATATTTTTATTAGATACGTGTTTTAATCGTTTGTCTTGGTCTTAAAATACATTTTAYTAAAAATAGTTTTTGCGTATTTAATGAGAGCATCTCGTGTCGCCATAAAGTGTCTAGTTGTACAAAAAGCGAACATGAAATAACTCTCAAGTCACATTTGCAAAATAAAGTTGCACATTGCGATGACGCACATGGCAACCTGTGGCCCGACGCCTTGCGTCGACATCGATCCATTCAATTTCACCAAATCTACATGCCACACTCCGATGCCAGAACAAGTGTTAACAACAGAATTATCTCCGGATCAACCGCAATAACTGATAAGGCCGTGAGTTTTCCATTAGAGATTACCCCAACATCGCACTATTTATTATTAATATAAATATTTAAAGGAAGAATTTCTTTTTTCAGTGAAGCGTTTAACATTCACCTTGTAAACGTATCAGAATTTCCCTTTGGCCACTAGTATCACTACGTGTTGGTGTGTTCGACGCGGTTTTGCATGCCGATAAGAAGAACTGATTTAATTTAATTACAATACATATCTTTGGCCCATTAGTTTAGATTTTGATACGAATTTACGAAATGAGTAAACATTTACAAACTGTTGCAGCGATGGCTTGCATGAAAAGCTTGTTGATGATCTTCAATTTTGTCTTTTGGGTAAGTTAAATCCTGTCTATTATGTCACTAGGTGCGATTCCATTAAGAAACCATATGTTTGCTTGATTGGTACTTACCATTACAAAGCTACCAATTACTATAATTTGCCACAGAACGCACCTGATCTAAGTCTGATTGATAGGTTATTTACAAAAGGAACAAATGATGAAGGATCCACGTCATTTATTAATTGTGTATGCTTTAGATATCTGGTATTGCTATTTTGGCTATCGGGATATGGATGGAGGTGGAGCTTTACAAATACATGGAGATGAGTACCGAATTTTCCGGTACCGCGCCCTACGTTTTGATTGGTACCGGATCTCTTATAATTCTAATTGGATCTTTGGCTTGCTGTTGCACCGTGAAGGGCCAGCCAGTTCTTCTATACGTAGTAAGTGTATTTCTACTACATGAAATTATAACGGACGATGAATATTTGCATAATTTTACGTTATTGCAACCTCTTCATCCGTGCAATTCTTTCCATGCCGCGGCTTCAAAATAATCATAAAAAATGATTAAAAATAATTAAATTGGCTCCTATTTGGTTCACTTTACCAGCAAAGTGCCGGTTTCCGGGATTGCTTCTTGTTAATAAACTTTTGCTCGACTTGTTTTCATATTGTGCGTGAGAACCTGAACTCAAGGCTTTCTATTTACTTTCCAGTATGGTGCCTTTTTGGCGATAATTTTCGTCCTGGAACTGGGTGCTGGAATTTCCATTTTTGCTTACCGGAATAAATTAAATGAAGGCTTCGACAAAGGTCTCGCTCAAGCTATGGCCAACTACCGGAACGATAGTACACACATTGTTGCCGATTTTGATTTCATGCAGGAAACAGTGAGTAAATCTGAAACCCGACATCAGCACCATTCAGTGCCCTTTAGGTCGTTCAACTCCGACTTATGAATTAGTTATTAAGTTATGTAAACAAAGCTGAATTCAGACAGGGAAAGGTGAACAAGAAAATTAGCTCATTTGGTTTAAACGTTTTATTTAAATTTGTTAAAAAAACAAACAAAAACGAYCATTCTTAGCAATTCTAAAAGCCCATTTATTCTATATTATATTCACACTTTATTTATTGCTATTTATTTATTAATTTTGCGTTGCTTCTGTTCTCCTTTTCCTTATTTAGCTCGCGGAGATCCCATCAATAGCACACTGATTGATAGATGTTGAATAGAGTGGCTAATTACCGTTTTATTATTAATAATAGCTCCAATGTTGTGGGAACCACGGCCCCGAAGACTGGCTCAACTTGACTCCTCCGTACCCAATWCCCCTTTCGTGTTGCATAAACAAAGAAAAATGCGACCCCGGAGTTAAGGATCAAATCTTTCACGAAGTAATTTTTCTTTTAATGTAAACTCGATGTAAAAAATATTTTCCCAGGGTTGTTACGAGAAAGTGTTCAATTTCATGAATGCTAATATTGGAATCGTGGCCGGGGCATCAGTAGGAATAGCMTTTTTTCCATTGATTGGAGTGGTTCTGTCCTGCTGTCTAGCAAGTGTGATAAACAAGGCTAAGTACGAGCAAATGGCTTAAGAAAACCACAAAGAAAACTCAAGATTACTTCATGTGCTTGTCTTCARTGTTTTCTCTCTACGATTTCTTCAAATACCTATTGAATTTTAAGCTTCTCTGTGTGTAACTAAGAATTAATTACAGCACTACATGGTTGTTAAACTTGTATTGTTATAAAGTGTCTATTTTATATCTGTGTTATAATATTGAAACGTATACTTATTCGAGTGTTCTCTCTCCTATATAAATATATATCATCGAGAATGAAGACTTTTGAGAAACAAATTTTGTTCGTTCCATCCACATCGAYAAAAAAATAGTCAATACGTTTTAGGGAAACTGAAAATTTGAGAAAATCGATAAAATGCGAATTTCTACAGATTATATTATCTTTTTTGGGGCCTAATTAATTGTGAAGCGTCTGTTTAAAAATTAACAGATGGAACAAATATTATTTGTTCAAATTATTAATACTAAATATAATATTATATAATATAAAGTATACCTATTTAATATATAAATTTATGAGTATTAATGTATTTTTGACATACTTATATCAAAAATAAAAAGTATGTAAAGAATATGGAGTTATTTTTTATTTTTTTACACATCTTTGTCCTTTGTGTGCAATAGTAAAATTGTATACAATTAAACTTGAAAACGTGAAAGTACGTCATTTTGTATGAACACACAATGCTTTACGTAAAGAAAATCGCAGGAAATAAAAATTTATCTGATTGCAAGTGTTTCATAATAGATATAAATATTATTATTATTAAATTTTATCATCTGSCATAATAATAGTAAATTATAAAAGTAATCAAGTACTGGTTAGTTGTTACTATTTGGCAAAAAGGTACCTACCTAAAATGTTGTATAAGAAAGAGGTATAACTTTTCAGAGYATTTAAGTTTACGCGCGTTGACAGGACTGCATMCCYAAAAATCTAAAGTTACTTTTCAAAGTTGTTCTCTTTTGACAATTTTAAAAAACAACACATTTTTGTTGTTTACGTATTAATGGCACTATTTTTTCTTATTTTCACTACATGTTACATGTTACACTTGAATTAATTTTACCTACTATTTTCACCGCATCGTTTGTATACAGCAGAACGGACTTTTAGAATACCACACTACCAACTGCCACTATCGGTGAAAGTGAAACTCCCTACATAGCGAAGTGTTTGCCATGAAAGGTCAAACGAACAACAGAAAATTAACAACAATCGTTTTGCTGGTATTAAAAATTGGCAACTAATTAATTACTGAATTAAATCGCAGTGTGTATTATTGATAACAGGTTAAACAATTCTTACTGTGTTGTTTTTGAGTGGGAAGTCAAGGTGAGTAATTACGTATTGTTGTATTTTTATCAGCTTTCTCTTCTTCTTTATAATTCCGAATGATTTTAGATTAATTGAGGATTCTGATTTTCTAGCATTAAAAATGAGTGCTCCTCCGCCTCCTCCTTGCGACTGGCAAACCACCCGAAAATTGGTAAAGGAAAGAGGGCAGTACCTTCTTGAAACAGGAATGTGGAGTGATTGCAGATTTATTGTGGGAACAGACCCAAATCAGCAAGTTCTCGAAGGACACAAGCTTTTTTTAGCTATGTCTAGTCCAGTTTTTGAAGCAATGTTTTTTGGAGGAATGGCTGAGAAAGACCCCATTGCTATTCTTGATGTTCAACCTGACGCATTTAAAGCTTTATTAGAGTACTATTATTGTAATTTTTTATATCTATTTGGTAATTTTGTTTTTTCAGGTACATATACACTGATAAAATCAATTTAACTTCTTTTGACCAAGCTTGTGAACTATGCTATGGCGCAAAGAAGTACATGTTACCCCATTTAGTTGAAGAGTGTACAAAATATTTGTGGTCAGATTTGTACCCAAAAAACGCGTGTCGCGCCTACGAATTTGCGAAATTGTTTGAAGAGCCTATTTTAATGGAAAAATGCATGCTTGTAAATAATTACATTTTTTTATTATAATGATTTAAAACAATGTGTTTTATAGATAATCTGCAATCAAACTCAAGAAGTTCTTTCAGAGAGCAGTTTTGATGATGTGGAACTTAGCACCATCCTCACAGTCTTTGACCAAGACGAACTAAACATCAGTTCTGAATTGGAACTGTTTTCTGCCATTTCTCGTTACGCTGCAAGACACAATCAAAGTTCAGGTGCGAAAGTACCTAGACTAGATGGTATAGGTAATTGTGCTTAATTTATTAACTAGACTTATGATTTGCCACACCTTTGCTCACACTTTTTTAATTCAGATGTTTGCATGAGATATGCTTAATGCATTTTTTGTGGTTTATTTTTTTCGAGTTCGATTTTTTTACTACTGACTTGTATAGGAAACCCATCTAGTGAGGGTGGTAATGGCAATCATCCTACAGTTAGGGACGCCATTATGAAGATTAGATTCCTCACATTGACACCACAACAGTTTGCGGAAGTTCCAGCGAGTTGTAATCTCTTAACAGAATCGGAAAAATTCGCGATTCTCATGAATATTTGCTCACCAAGCGCTACCACGCCTATGCCCCCAGGGTTCTCTACTTCTAGAGTCGCCAGGAGGAGGAAACAGAGCATCAGGAACGAGTCTATTTTTATGGTAATTTTTTGTCCTGAGATTGGCAACTATTTTTCTATATTCTGAATATGATAAATAATAAGTGAAAACTTATTTATTTTACTACATACTTTTGTAGATTGATACCAAAAAAGAATTTTGATGGTTTTCTTTGCTCATAATAAAATAATGAATAAATTGTGCGTTAAAACACGTATATTTTTTTCCAAAATTATCTTTTACATTATTTTGTCTGCATTGGATTTAATACTAAGCCCCTGTTTATCAAAGTATATTACACTATAATATGATGGCTAACAAAGGAAAGGATATTAGAGCTATCACTATGTACAATATTTGTTTGGTGGATACTGGTCTGTTTTAAACAAACAATTTACAGACTATAAGCAATATCCATTACATTCATAAAACCGTTTCTAATAGGAACTGATGTGGATTAATTAATTTATCAGAGTATTGTTTATTATTTAAAAATTTATTTCCAATAAATTTATTTTAATTGATAACCCTTTCTATCTCTGATCCTAACGTTTTATTTGTCCACGTGTTTTCCAAATATGGACGTCTTCTATTATATAAATATTTTTTTGAAACGAATTAGTTTTTTATTCGAATTTTCAATAATCGAGAGCTACAGTTTAATCTCACTTTTAATTCATCTAATTTGTATTATTTTTTATAAATTATTTTGATGATAATAATAATGAATACTTTGTGTAGCCTTCATTTAATACTGCTCTAATAGCTTTGCTGTTTAGCCTTCATAATAATTTTACTAATTTTACTTAAAAATTATCCTAAAAAAATAATGGTATCTTTAATAATTCGCTAATAACATTGTTTAGCTTTAGGTATAAAAAAAATCAGAAGAGCCGATTTTTTACTGCTTTTTTGTTATTGTTASTTTTTTATTTTTGTGGTAACCTTGCAATTATTTTAATAATATTTAGGAGATAAAGTCTTAAAATAATATCCTTTGCAAGATAACGACAATAACATTTCGTTGTTTATAAATGGCGGCTTATAGTTTGCAATAAACGTAAATTTGTATTTTTGTTACACATTTAGTTTCTCTTTGAAAAACATTACAATCCTTAATTTACTACAATACTATCGTAAAATAAACGTTTTTAAATCACTCTCGTACTAATTAATTGAAAACATAAATGTATTTTTAGCAAGTGATTTGATTCTAGGGTGGAGCTTCTTCGATGGATACATCTCGGACTTCGATGATTAAATTCAGTTTATCAGCCAACGAGGGCGGCAATGAATCCCCAAAAAAGCTCTATTGTTGTCGTCAATTATTGCGAATAACAGAATGTATGAATACAAGCGTTCTCGATTGCGCAGTTACATTTACTTGTGACCGAAATGTTTGTGTGTATGGAATTCAGGTAAACAAGTTTTTTAAGGAAAAATGAATCGTACTGAAATTTTTGTTAGGTGCCCACACAAATACCGGTAGAGGACGACCGACAGCAATCATACTCGTATCCAGAATTGCTCTACGCCCATTTGCTTGATGCTGACGGTAGCCGTTTGACATATACACACTTTACTACTAGGGTAGCTTTCAGATCTCTTATTGAAATTTCATTCAACAGACCAGTGTACATACAACGAAATAAGGTATTATGGTGGGAAAACAGTTTGTAAAGCTGATTGTTTGTTTGTAGGTGTATAAAGTTGGAGTGGTTTTGAATAAAATTGGGCGATATCCTATTGGCGCATATCCAAGTCAGTCCACTTGCAATGGAGTCGTTTTTACTTTTAGCCAAGGACAAAGTGGCGATTCTGTCAGAGATGGATTAGTGCGTTCAATAATTTTCTCAATACCGTCGTCGAATCACAACAGTATTAACAACCCCGGAATATCTGGTATACCCGGTGATCATAACAAAATGTCTAACATCATATAAATACCCCATGACAGCTCGTTTCTGAATGTATTTATTTGTGTATTAAATGTATGTTTATTTTTAAAATGAAATAAATGGTGATTCAGTTGTAACAAATTTATCTTGATTAAAGGGCGATTTTAACAATTTTTGTTATGTCTGCTGTGACAAATGACTATCGAAGTGTCGATAAATTTTTTGTATGTTGGATCGGGATAGGTCGTTGACCACGTGTCTTTACGTCACTGGCAATTCAGCCAATCAAATGGCATCACAATCAGCTGCATTGAAAACATACATGGCGGCCTAGTGTTGTGATAAATATTGTATTCTATATTTTTTACAATTAAATGTTGATTTACATGTGAAAAAGCTATAAAAATGCCCAACAAACGTCCGGCAAAATCAAATCAATCCGAAAAAAAGCAACCCAAAGGCTCCAAAGAAGCAAAGAAGAACACCGGTGAGGCCTAATTATTTATATCAATATGCTTGTCGTTGTTATCTTTAATGCTGTGACCTTCATTTAAGTTTTTGTTGTTTGCCTTGTTCGTTCATCACGGCTCGTTATTGCATCCAAATTAGGTTTTGTCACTGATCCACGTCAGTGTTGTATATGGTCCACTGCAATACTACTGATTACTGTTATGTCCATATTTAATTATTTCTGATACTTTTAAGACAAGCAAAGTTTTTGTTGTTTGGCTTACTTTTTGGATTTGTTACGTAATAATTGATTGCATAAAAATTCGGTCTGGTGTTGAGGTTATGACAGGTAGTATGATAGAAGGTGGGACTACTCGTTAAAGGTCGGACAAATCAGACCCAGTGCTATTGGAGATTTTCACATTTATGGGAAGATATTGAATTACTGATTGGGTAACCATTTTTATAGAATTTCAGTCACATAAGTAATAAGCTTTACATTATTATTATTAACGATTATTTAGCAATTACAGGAGGCGTAAACGTTAACTCGGGAAATAAAATAAGTTTTATTGTTATACCTATTCAATACGGAAAAAATATATTTCTGTCGTTGGATTTCTCGAGTAAGATAGTCACGCGACGTGTATTACATATGTACGTTGTATCTGTAAAAAAATAAGACGATTGTAATAGACACATTATGTGAATTACTCAATTCTGTTTACATATTAATGTCTTTGTTAATATTCCGTTTAAGTAGGAGATAAAATGTCGCTCGTAAAAATAAATAATATTTTATACGTGTTATTGCTTTATTTGAAACACGAATCGTAAAACTTTGTTTAGTTTGATACATGATTAAATCGTACGCAATGGCCTATGATGAGAATTTGAATTTTTACGAAGAACAAGTACTTTTTTCTTGTCTAAGGACATCTGAAAAATAATTTGAGGACTTTATGGGGCACAAAAAAATTTAGACTTTTTTAAATTGCAGTTTCAAAAAAAAAWTTACACAAAATTTTTGATTTTGAAAATGGATTGATTGTTTTTAATATTGTACAATATTTTTTTTATTCAATTAAGTATTGAATCTCAGACTGAGTCCATGCTCTTGATCTTGTCTAGAATCTTGGTAAATAATTTCGAGGTCAGGTCTTGCCAATTAATAGTTTCAATGTGGAGGTGGCTTTGAATAAAAGCAAAACTAAATTTAACGTAAATCATTATTAAAGGTAATAAAATTTTGACTACTTTGGAATTTTTACTTTTAGTTTAAATTTAAACTAAATTATTTGCAGAGCATTTGAAACTTATAGGTTTTTAAATACAGTAAACAAAAATGTTGATTGCCATCATTCAAAAAAAATACTATAATAACGTCGTTACTTAAAAATCATTGACGTTATAAATAATATTAGATATAATGAAAATGTATCATTTCCAAAAATAAAATCGACCCATTTGAGAATTTTTATAAAAAAATTACCCTAAAATTATGAATTTTGTGCGCTACTTTTGGTTTGCCTGTATATTTTTCTATTATACCGTTTGATGTTGATTAGCGACTGGTTTATATTTACTCCGATTTATTCAAAGTGCGTATTTTTTAACTATAAGAATGTAGCGATAAGGGACTGACTTCTTTATTATTGTAATGCTCGTTGCAAATGAGTATCATTTTTTATTGCGATTTAAAATTCAAATTTTGAACTTAGCGGAAAAATGTTCAAAAATACAAAGTTCAAGGTCCAGAGCGGACATTTATACCTTTTATCTCTGGACAATTTAATCAATTTTTGACAATTTTCTTTACGTGACGAGAATGACAAAGGCATTGATGTGTTGCTGTATTTATTACGGAAAAGTGTACCTATTTCTGTTGAAAATACAATTATATTCTCTCAAATAATAAGTAGGTAACATTGTTGAACATAATAATCTATAGAAGAAGAAATAAAAATACGGATTGAATTTATTCGGTTCAAATAAAACTGATAACTAAAGCAAATATTGAAATAAGTCAATCACAGAATAACAAAAATCGAAAATCTGTTTTGTTTACAACTTGTTTTAATTATGATCAAATAACTCCACATACACTCTTCTTGATCGTCCTATATCAGAATATTGTTTACATCATAATGGCACCAACGATATCGCATTATTGATTAAAAAGTTGTCTTTGTTTATTTTACTAGTGCTTTGTTACTGGTGCTTTTGTGCTGAATAAATATATTTTTTTTAAGTCACAAGTTTTTCTTCAATCAACAACTTTTGCTCATGTCTCATGTCATTGAAATATTTTGAAAATTATTATTCATCCTACTTAAGGACTTGAGCAATTACATTTTTATCATTATAACTTTTATTTAACGTATAACGTATTTAATATACTCTATATGTAAAATGAACTCGTAGTTCATTTTACCAACAAAATATAAAAAATGTAACCCAGTTTGTGTTGTTTTTGTTTATTTTTATCTGTTTTTCTAATTAATATATTTCAGAATGTTTTTTTTTTCTATTACATCATTATTAAAAGGTTATTTGATACATTTAATGTGCTTCCGTAAACGGAATATTTAACTCCCAATTATATTTGATTGAATTTTTGTATTGCACGTTCATAAAAGTTGTTTAAATAATTTAATGATGGGTGTATCACACACATGTACTTCCATCATTTATTGTACAAGTTTTCAGAAAGATATAATTTAAAAGTAACTTCAATATGTTTTGTAATTTTATGCATTTATCAATTCCATTAATTACATTTTTGTATGCAATTAAATGGATAGTTTGTAAACTTTTTTTCTGGTATGGTATTCATCCAAATTAGATTTATAAAATAATAAAATTTTAGATTTAAATGATTATGTAAATCAAGCTTAATTATGGTTAATATGTTAATATTATAATTGTTTTGATCTGTTTCGTGCCGGATCGCACGTAGGTACCTGTGAATTTAATTATACAAAACTGGAGCTATTGAACTTTGATATTTCTTCTAAAATAAAGTCGATTTTTTATGAACTGTTCTATCTATCTTGTTGCAAATCTTGCATAAATTGAATTTATTACAAAAAAATCAACTTTGTTTACTACTTGAGGTGACCCAGAAGGAGTTTCTAGCAGCGGTCTGCTATTCATTTATGTATGTAGCTTAGAATCAAGGTCAGTTTAGTTCACTCGGAAGTTCACAAATTCTTTGCAAGGTTCTTTAAAACAATTATTTATTTTCATGTCCAATGAAAAAATGTGCTAATTTTGATTAGAAGTTTGATCCAATAACTTCATACATATTATGTATGGGTTTCTAATTAGCAAATCACGTTTTTGAATGGCGATTCATTGTAAACGAATCATTCGATTGGCTGGCTAGATGCTAAATATGTAAATGATTGATGTCGTTTATAAGAGGTTTTATCATCAAAATTAAATATGTGGACAGTAACATTCTCTTCAAAAACTTTGCTATTAACACCAGAATCTAAGAGCAATAAAAGAACTAAGTAAAATATTTTTGAGCAACAATAGTCACGCAAATTTAAAATGAATTCATTTTTCCAATAGTATTACTTAATCTCCGTGTGGTCCAAGCCTTGCAAAACTATAAGGTCGAAGACCGGTAAAATCAGGAACTAATAGAAGCGGAAAAAATCTAGTCAGAATACACTTTGTACTAATTTTAACACTACTGTTTTGATAGCATGAAATTGATAACGATCACGTACCTGTATGCGGCTCCACCTACTTTTCAAAAATTTCTTGCCTTCAGCTTCAGATCTACACTTTCACATAACCATATAGCAATTGACGTGTATTTAACACACCTTTTTTTTGGTAACTGGATTCCATTGCTCAAAATTCGTTCACCCTCTAAGGAAAATATTTATGCGTCGATAATTAATTGACCTTTCACATTGTTGTGTTTCAATTTCCATACATAGTTCTTTTGCAAACAGATAACTCTTAAAATATTAATCTAGGTTAGTTTTATAAGTTTCTCAAAGTCAAATGTTTAAGGTGAGTGAGCATTTAACTTCGGTGCGTGCCAATTTTTAATGTGAAGGATTTTGTAGACGGTGTACCTACCTATGTATTAAAACAGAAAAGTATCCAGAGAAAGTAACAGATTTTCGTCGTATAATTGATTATGTTAACAATTAATTGAACGTAGTATTATGTTCACTCCAAAGATTGATTTAATGCGAAAATATATGAAATAATGACTTTTATTCAATATTGACGTCAATGTGAAACAAAATTGTAAATTATTATTGTAATGCAAATAAAACATGATTTTACACATCAATACGATAATAATAATTGTTTGCTAACTCGTATTACAATCGTTGTTTATGGGGTCAATCTATTTATAAAAGATTTACCTTGTTTGAGTCAGCTAATTAAAATTTCGATTGTTCTTACCTAAAGAGACTTTGAGTGCATTGATACCTGTGTGCGTCATATGATGGAAGTCACCTAAATGAATAAATTTTATTCTAATTGTTGTTTTGCACGATAATAAAAATAGATCTTTTTGGATAAACATGATAATCAAAAATCGGAAACTGAATTCAGTCCAAAATAAACTTTACACTGCTTGAATATGTTTAAAATTCAAAGTTTTAAATGATTTTTTCTTCGTAGCAGTATTTATTATATTTTTAATTATACATATAATAGGCATTTTTTTGATAATTTTACCATTT